GGAAGAGAAAGGCTAAGGATAGCGCTGGTGAAGAATTGGGGAGTTCTATGGGTTTTGGTGCTGTAGAGGCACCTCATAGGCGGGCATTGAGGGTTAGGTACTTCCAGAGGGGGCAAAATGAGAAGCCCTCGGAAGGGGATTACTTGGTTATGAGGCCGAAGAAAGTAAAGTTGGCAGAGTACGATAAGATGTTCATGAAATTTATGCATAAGGAGGCCTTGTTAGCTGCTTTAAATGCAAAAAACCCAGATACTGTGGTAGCTGTTATGGAGGAGTTGGTAGCCAGGAAGAAATTGTTGAAATGTGTCTCAAATTTGGACAATGAGGAGCTTGGTTTGCTGTTGAAGTTTCTTCAGCGGTACTTGACAATGCCTAGATATGCAGGGTTTTTGATGGCATTGTCCAAGAAAGTTATTGATTTAAGGGGTGAGGATATTAAAGCCTCTGATGCGTTGAAGGGCCACATTAGGAACCTAAAGCGAGATGTCGAGGAAGAAATTAGAATACAACAGACTTTGCAAGAGATACAGGGTATAGTTTCCCCCTTGTTAAAGATTGCTGCAAGAAGATGAAAGCAATATCCAAAATCATTATCTATTGCTTAAGTAGTAATTTGTTAGATCAAAATTTTGCTCAGTGAGATATTTATAGTTGCTATCATTGGAAACTCAGACCAGTCAGTTTTGTAGGTTAGAATCTATCAGACTAATGTATTGGTACTTTGTTGTTTGTGTACTTTGGTTGTGTTATTTTCCTTGATTGTTTTCCAAAACTGGGAGCTTTTTGGCTCTGTCTGTACTACACTTGGTCTTCAAGAATTCTTATTCCCATGAATGAGTTTACATTTTGAAATGCCTGATAAACATGGTTATTCAACCTCTCAATTTTGATTTGTACTAGTCCATTATTAGTTCACTTATATGCAAATTTCAGCCCTTTCTGGTTATGCTCACACTCTTGACCTCTTATCTAATGTTGTTATTATTACTTTATCCCATGAATGAATTAAGAGTCTTGATCTCAAATGGGACATCTTTTCAATGTCATTTTTGTTCTTTCATGCTTTTACAGTATTTTTTTTTGTTGGCTCTGTGAATGTTAGATCATGGAAATAACATTGTTTCCTTTGTTGATCTCCTTATACTAAGAAGATCAATTGTTGCTAAAACTTTTAAGTTATGGACATCTTGCCAGAGGTTGTCTAATATCTCTGGATAAAGTATACGTGCAAGATAAATTGTGCTCAGAAATCAGGAGGCACTTTGGAATCCTGGAGGCTTAAAGAATGACCATTCTAACTGTGAATTGATCTTATTTTGGCTTCAGTTTCACTTCACCGGAACTCCACAGCAAAATCCTGCAGCGGTGTCTGTTGGCTTTACTTCTCTTGTGAGGCATTTTGATTGCTTTCAGTAATTTCTGATCCTTTTGAGTTTTGATGGCTATCTTTGAACAAAATACATGTTCAGAAACTAGCAATAGTCATAGATAGATTGAGCTTTACCTCAACCCCAGCACCAAAATATACAGTTGCATTTTGCTATCAAGATTTGGTGATAGTTTCCATGAAAAATGCATGCCTGCCAAAGTTTGCATGATTTTTTTCATTTGCTTAAGCATACGAAAGAATTACTGTCACATCTGTTAGTTGACATCTTTCTTTTTTTTTTAAAAAAAATAATAATTTGCTTTGTTTCTTGGTGATTGTTTTCTTAGTTTGCTTTAGAAGGAAACTTCTTATATCTAGAATAATGTCTATTCTGTTTTACACATAGCTAACACGTTGATTTTTGTGGTACGTGTGCTTTTGCAGTTAATACTCTTTGCATCTTATTCTAGCAAGGATTAAAAACGCCTTGAGTGCAGGTATCAGGCTGCCCAGTTCAGTGACCAACTGTTTATGCAGGTTTAACCCTATAAACTGCTTTGAATCTTCAACAAACTCTCTAAAACCTCCTTAAATCTTGTATGATGTGGGGGGCTTATACTCTGAATACAGCCTCTTTTTCCCGTGTCATGTATCTATAGGCTCATGCTGATCCTTTCACCATAAACGATAGGGACAACATGGTTATAACTGGTATAACTAGAATGATAGAAATGCCTGATAATGATACTTGCCTTATACTTTGGGTTCCAACAAATTGATGCTGACATGGTTGTCAAAAGAGTGTGATTTACCCAATGAATTGCCATTTCAAAGTGCACAGTGCATGTTAAACACATGTTGTAGCTTGCTTTCTTCGTTTTCAAAACTCATATTTCTCTGTGATGTGAAACATTAACTTAAATATTGCCTATGTGTAAATATCTGATTGCTGCCAGTCATGTTGGTTGCAAGAGCCAAGTTGCTGAGAAGAAAAGCAATGTAGGTTCTTGCGCCCGGGAAATGTAGGAGGCAACTTGAGAGGATGATTGAGATTCACACCGCATATTTGTCCCCTCCCCGACCCCACTCCTGACCCGAAAAGAATGTTCAAAGAAAGAAAAAATGTGTTTGCTTTTGTTGTAAATCAAGTTACTCCCTTGACAAGATATCTTTGAAGTTGATCTGTTTAAACATTTTCAGGTTCCATTCTCCATGAAGGAAATGCAATGCTGCTTTCCTGCTTTCTGTTATATGGACATAATGCTTCTGTGGCTTTTCAACATGACTTAGTTTGCCATATCAGAGCCCTCATTTACAGGTTTTGACAGCATAATATGATCGCTACAGGTATAGAAACTATTAACTGCAGGTATAGAATGTGTCAACTATAGATACAAAATCTAACTTGATAATTGCTGAAACATAATATGATAGCTACAGGTACAGAAACTATCAACTGCATGTACATAATGTGTCAACTATAGATACAGAATCTAAAAGTTATTTTTGGACTAGGGTTTACAATGCAAGGTAGACCTGGTCCATGGTATATTTTGCCTGGAGATTCTGAGAAGGCTTGGTGGAAGAAGATGGTTGTTGCCCAGTCTTGAAAATTGATTAATTAATCATTTGTTTATTGTGGGAGAAGGGGGTGGTTATATTGGTTGTTTGGAGCTGAGCAACAGAAGCTAAAGATTTGGTGCTGATGGGATTTTCCATTTAGTTTTAGTTGGTATCAATCCATATTTCTTTGTGTATGGTCTACATCTCTAATCACTTTGTGTGATGGCTACATGGGTGTTGGACCTATACCTAATTCTATACAACTTGGCATCCATACTTTTGCACCTCATTCTTGGTCCCTATGCAAATAGGTGAGTAGTCGAATTAAGTTCAAATAGTCAAAGTTTCGAAATTTATCTTAATTTGATCAATTGTATCTCATGTAAAAGGTACTGATTGACATTTGAATATTAAGATGCTTGAATTAAGTTTGATGTATTATTTGAACTGCTTGAGCTTAGTTTGATTCTACAATAACTTAATCAAATTTAAAAAATCAAACTCATTTGAAAAATGAATCCAAATATTTTATAAATAGATTGGTATATCGATAAAACATGTGATTTACATGGTTATTTTGCCTTCCCTTTTAACAGCTATGATTCATTGATTCTATCTCAGACTTTATATAACTTATGAGGTCCACTATGTCACTTCAATAAATGATAATAATATGTAAGGCGCCTCTCATTTTTGGCAATCTTTTATGAAATGATCCTAACAATAAAATACTGTATTATTATAAAATGAGTAAAGAAGTTAAAGTGAAAGTACAGTTGTATAGATTAAGGAAGAAGGAACAAAACGTAGTCTTTGTCTTTGCCGACGTATGTTCTCAAGATTCCTTGGTAGCCGCCACCCAATGCTTGTAAGATTCGCCACCAGATTACTTCCTCACTTTCACCAACAAATTAATCCAACATTTTCAATAGACATAACCTCATTCAGTACATGAAGATATGATGATTTTATTCAATTGAAAGACTCCTTATATAAAAAACATTATAGGAAGATTACAAATTCTTACGATTTTTAAAGAATTAGATAGCTGCAAAGTTACATCAAAAGTCTTTAAAGTAGTACATATTAGTACAATACAATAAGCTTAGTCACTTGTACTTTATACAAACTAGTACAATAAGATAAACATGATATAGTCACATCTACTTTAGCGGGATCATGTTTATGTTTGAAATTTATTAATTGAGTATGCATTTCTACTATATGTACGTCTAGCCAAAACACACGCAATAGAACCATACAGATGGAAAAAAAAATCCAATAAACATAATAAAAGTCGTTGTCGAAGTAAACTAGTATAGGTTGTCAATAACCTGCTCAAATTGAGAAGACCAATACGCAAACTAACTTAGGGTGCCCAGACATGAGTATGCACTAGGAAATTAAATCTAACTCGTGTAATAGCGCACATGCATACCACACAAGAGAAATAAATCTGTAGCCACTATCCGAGTGTATGCACTAGGTAAACCTCAGCTTGTGACCTTAACCGACATAGGACCACAAGGAAGTAAATCAACCTTTGTTGCCTATAACTGATCATCTTAAACCAATAAAACCAATAATTCGCTTCAGAGTCAAACTTGTAATTTTGTAATTGACCAACTTGACTGCTGTTGCCTTACTCTCATTATTAACCAAATAAATGGGTCACAATATGATTATTATATGTAACAGTGGCAGTACTTGAACCTCAAAAAAATCTGTCATTTATGCGGGACTACTAATGTTGTACCATTCCTAACATGCATACTACGTATTATGCAATGACAGATAGACGTATATACAGCGCACCACCAAACCAGAAAAAAAAAAAAAAAAAAAAAAAAAAAAAAAAAAAAAAAAAAAAAAAACCCCAAAAAAGGGTATGTTAGGACATGTAACAACCTTAGCCATATAAACCATTTTAGTCTTTGTGGCAAAGGTTTAAGGATTAATGGCGATATAGTTTAGGTCTACCAACTGGTGGTTACCGATTCAGACCCCTAACCATCAAACCCCTCTTATACACACTAACAACATCCCACAAACAAACAGAAAAACAACCACCACAACTCCCCAGTTTTCCCAATGTCCTGTTTCTTGAAATATATATATGTTTTTTAAGGTAAGAAGCTTCTAGGGTGTTTTTGGTCGTGTAGCTTGGACCCCACATTTGAGAAAGTCTGGAATTATTGAAAGGGAAATTAAATAGTTTTCTAGTGTTCTTCTTTGCTTGTGTGTTGTGTTTTTCTGTGGTTTCATTCTCTTGAATATTATTTGTGTTTTTGGTTGGTGTCATTGTTCAATGATAAGGAGGGGTTGGTTCATAGGATCTTTGGGGATATATCAGCTTTGTCTCCATATGAGGAAGCTTCTGTTCTGAGACAACTTAGTTTATTTTTAATTTTTTTTTTTTTTTTTTTTTTTGGGTTTCTTGAGTTTTCAATCACTCTCTTGGGCTCTTCTCTGTTCCCCCAATTGTGGGCAGACCACAATTTCAAATCTTTCCCAGGTAATTTTTCGATTTCTCCTACTTTTTTTTTTCTGCCCTTGTTTGTGCTTGTATGATGGAAAAGGTTGTTTCTTTAGGACAAGGGTTTTAGTTTCTGTTTCCCCAAGTTGACCATGATCATGGAGTTTTGTTTTTCTGTTTTGGGTGTTCTTTCTTTTCTGCAGAATCTTGCTCTAGCTATATTTTCTAGCTCTTGATGATAAAAAAACATAGAAGAATTAGCAAGAATTATGGGACTGAGAACAGTTTTGTCTGAATTTATGTTTTGTGTTGTCTGTTTAGGTGGTGTGAAGGCAACCATCAGGGGATTTGGTTTCTCATGAATGCTTTATTGCCTATCCTTTAGAAAAAAACCGGGTTTTCGACGAAATTGGTTGTGGGTTCTATTATTTGAGATATGGCAACTTATTTCTCCAGTTTGAGTGACCAAAGAGATGATCTCCCAATGCCATTGATGCCAAATGAGAAACATAGTTCTTATCATCAGTCGTCTGGTCTCCCCGATAATTTGATGTATTTGAACCATCCCTACCCAGAATTGTCCTCGGGGAGTTCCTTGCCTGCTCATAATAACTATGGCGAGGCGCAATCCATTAGGACCCGGGATGAGATGCTGTTCATTCCCCCGACGAGTGATCCAGCAACTATGCAGCCGATTGGTAGGCTTCCAAACGTTGGGTCGAGTTTTTCTGGTGTTAACTCTACCCCGGTGGAGCCTCATACTTATTCCTCGAAGCCTTTCGATGCTCAAAGCGTCGAGCAGAATCTTCAGTATCAAGGGCTATCCCTCAGCTTGGCAATGCAAGTCCCGGGTTCAGTTCAGGTTCCGGGATATCATGACCAGTATACGAACCCCGGGTTCCCCTCGCTAATGAGCACACACGATAACGAGAACAAAAGTGCTGAGTATCTGTCGTTTGATTTGGCTGGAGCTCAGAACAATGTCAAGATTGGGGGCTCGGGCAACCTCGACAGGTCCATGAGCCTCCGGGAGATGAACTTTAATCCTCAGATACACGACGTGCCAGGTGTTGCTGCAGGAAGCATTTATAATTCCAAGTATCTTAAGGCCGCACAGGACTTACTCGATGAAGTCGTTAATGTTCACACGGCTCTGAAGCAATCGGAGAAACCCCACAACCTTCATCCGTTTGGCCAAGACGAAGAGGCTGATATGAAATCCAGCTGCTCAGGAACCGGGATGTCATCAGATGGCCACAAGTCGTCGACCAACACATCCTCTGGTGAACTCTCGGCTGCTGAACGACATGATCTCGAGAGCAAGATCACAAAATTATTCTCCATGTTGGATGAGGTGAGCCAATTGTCTTACCACGTTTTTGGTTTAAGTTCATCGTTATTGAATCAATATAACCTGTCACTATTACTTTCTGGCTTACGTGCATTGAAAAATAAGAGAGAAACATATGAGTTTATAAGGTCATGTGTTTGACTAGCTGATTGATTGGATTCAGTCTTTTAGTTTGATTTTGGCACATGTGCATTATAAGAACATAGGGCACTTTCTGGTGTTAGACTAGCTAATTGATTGGATTCAGTCTTTTAGTATGATTTTGGCACATGTGCATTATAAGAACATCGGGCACTTTCTGGTGTTAGACTAGCTGATTGGTTGGATTCAGTCTTTTAGTGTGACTTTGGCACATGTGCATTATAAGAACATCGAGCACTTTCGTTAGGAAAACAATATTGAAAAATTTCCTCTTTGGTTATACTTTGCTATAGGTGGATAGAAGATACAAACAATATTACCAACAGATGCAAGCTGTAGTATCGTCCTTTGAAATGGTTACCGGGCTCGGTGCTGCTAGACCATACACAGCGCTAGCGCTAAGAACAATTTCGTGTCAATTTCGCTGCCTTCGTGATGCAATCAAAAAACAGATTCAAGTTGCCCGCCAAAGCTTAGGCGAGCAGGGTAACAGTCAAGGAGAAAGACTATATCGCCTCCGCTTTGTGGATCAGCAACTAAGACAGCAGAGGTCACTTCAGCAATTCGGTATGATGCGACAGCCTTGGAGGCCACAAAGAGGCTTGCCCGAAAACGCTGTTTCAGTGCTCCGTGCTTGGCTTTTCGAGCATTTCCTCCACCCGTATGTTGCCTATAATAAGACGCTTTATATGCTGTTCTCGCGATGCCAGTAAAAGTTAAGGCTGATCATTTTTGTTTGTTTTTTTGCGATTTCCAGTTACCCCAAAGACTCTGAAAAGATCATGCTGGCAAGACAGACAGGCTTAACGAGAAGTCAGGTATGGAAATTGTCCCACATTGAAAATATAAGAAAGAACATATGAGCTTATAAGGCCATGTGTTAGACTAGTTAATTGGTTGGATTCAATTTTTTAGTGTGGTTTAGCCCATCTGCATTATAGCCCAATTGAGTGACCAGACACTTCTTGTGTAGGTTGCAAACTGGTTTATAAATGCACGAGTTCGTCTTTGGAAGCCCATGATCGAGGACATGTACAAGGAGGAGTTCGGTGATCCAGAAGGCGATTTGGCTGCCTCTCCAGAACCGATAACGGGTGCAAAGGAGAAATCAGTGTCTGATGACCGAGGTGATGAAGAGCTCCACGAAAGCTTAACGTCAATACCACAATCCAACGATTTAAGGTCCAATGTTGTCCCCAACGAGGAACGAAACAACATGACCTTAGCGAGGCTAGGATTCCAAGACACCACCACCCATGAAAACGAGCGGGGGGACCTTAACGAAGGTATCATTGCAGGCACGAGTGCATATGGTGTCTCGGTGTTCAGGGGCATGATGGGAAACCAAGTGTCCCTCGCTCTCGGCTTGCAACATAACCAGAACGACCCACAGCCACCCACCGCAACATCCCTAATAGGGGGCGATGACGATAAACCAGCTTCCTCTATGGACATTGGCAAACCAGACTACTACTACATCGACCCTGCAAACCAGCAAGAAAGGTTCGCTAGCTCTCATATCTTACCTGATTTTGTCGTATGATCGAAAAATTCATTCCCCTGCAGATACCCATGATAATCCATTTTTTTGCCTGCCCACCGAGAGTGGATTTCAAAGCATCTGTATATATATATGTATACCTGTATTCCTAGATAATCCATTTGTGCAATATATAGTGAATAATATGATGGAAGGTTAGCATAGTTCATGAGTGTATTACATATGATATATTTTTGTGTTTGCCGTTGAAAAATAAATGAATTCTGTATAAAGTTTTCACATCTTATTGTCATATTCTTGAAATGAAAATTTACTGTCAATCATCAATCAGTGCAATGTATCAATTTGATGGTATACTGTTGCTTTAACTAATCTGACAACCTTCTACTTCAGGTCTAATTTAGAGCATCTATAATAGGGAAGTTTTTTTTGTTTTGTTTTGTTTTTTTTTTTTTTGTTTGTGTGTGGTTTTTGAGGAGTTTTTATAAGTGTGATTAAAAAAGAGAATATGGGGGAGAAGAGAAAAAAGAAAAAAAACAAAAACAAAACGATTTAAACAAAAAAACAAACAAACAAACAAAATGGGTAACTGTCAGTGCGCTGGGGAGCGCGCCTAGGTGGGCGCACTTGTGACACGAACGCGGGGCTAACAGATTTCTTCAGTGGGTCACACATTTATGCAAAAAACTCATCTCTTGCAGATAAACTCACATCTTCTATCTATTGCATTCTCTCTCCATCAACTCATCATCTACTGTTCCAAAAACTCCTCAATATTCACTGATATTGATGCTCCTGTGCTAATCTAAACTCATTTTTAGGACTTTGACTTGTGAATATCATTTTGTGCCAAAATGAAACTTAAAAAAATTCCTATGTTCCGCACCTGGTATCTCCACAACTATGAGATTAATATATATGGATCAGTTTGGATTTTGTTTGTTAAGTGTGACTCTTAGTTAGACTTTTCAGTTGTATTAACTGTTTGCTTATTAATTGTCCTAAATAGTTAGGTTAAAAAAAAGTTTTAATGTTGTTGGAGTAGAAGATGATGCTTTGGTAATTAAGGTTATTATAAACGGGAGATCTAAGGAAAATAAAGTTTTATGTGTGAGTCTTTTGTGAAACCGTATCACAAACCTTATATGTAAGACGAGTTGGGTCATGATGGAAATGTAATACTTATGCTGAAAAATGTATGTAATACCAATTAGAAATAAATTGTTTGTTACTTATAAAAAATTGTAATATTTTGAGGGAAAACATAATATTTTTAAATCAAAGTTTAATATTATTTAGAGTTGAATAGTTATGAGAAAAAAAAGTAATACTTATCATGATAAATTGTTTAATTGTTACTTGTAAGACAAAAGTGTAATAATGATGAAAAATGTGATATTTTTAATTAAAAATATAATACTTTTAAATCAAAATGTAATATTAAGAGTTAAATAGTTATTTATAATAAAAATTATAATACTTATATAAAAAAAATGACTCAATAATCCGTGAGACGGTCTTATACTATAAATTTTCAAGTTTCATATGATATTAACTCCAGCCTATTCAGAATCTGTAGACTTTAATCAGTGACTGAGGCTTGTAGGGTTTGTATTGGCCAACAGAAGTGAAGAGGCAGGGAGTGACAACTGGAAGGCCTAATGGAACAAAGATGATAATCATTACATATATCAGTATCCCAAATGGTGAACCAACCACTTCCATACCAGAATCCATCAATCAAAATCTTATCATCACTGGGAAAAAAATAATCAAGAAAACCCCACCAAGAAAGAAAGAAAACAAGTGTAAAATGATGTCACACATTAAACAATCCCCTCCCTCTTCCTCCCTAGAAAACCCAACAGGTGCCCTAAAACGGGTGGCTGTGTAAATAGAGTATGATTATCGTATATAAAAGTTACGAGTTCGATTCTTGTTAACACATTCTCGATTAAATCTGTCACACATGGTCTTTTTAGTGTGATTTACCTCTTTGTATGGTTTGTTGATTATTACACCTGAGTTCGTGCACACTTTTAAGTAGCGATTGTGAGTTTCCATCGTCTCCAATGAAAAAAAAAGAAAAGAAAAAAAGAGTTACAGGGCGTTTGGTTGGAGGGATTTTAAATTCTCTTCCCACTTAATTCCCACCTAATTCCAAAGGCCATTAAATTCCGTAGTTTGGTTGGATGGAATTGCAATTCTCGCATTTTCATGGAATTAAAATCCCATGTCCCCCTTGGTATTTTAATTCCTGGAAAAAAAAGATAGTGATGAGTCAACATTACCCCTTCCTTTTTTAACTTAAAATTAATGTCTAACAACAATAATGGACATTTTTGACTTTATACTACTTATTCCCTTTCAATTCCCATGTATACCAAACATTGGAATTGAAATTCCCAGTAATTCTATTCCTGTCAACCAAACACTGGAATTTAAATTCCCACTTTATTCTCAGTAATTCAACTCCCATGGAATTACAATTCTTTTCTCACATAATTCCCCCCTCCAACCAAACGCCCTGTTAATGTTAATGTAACATTATCTTGAACATATAACCTAATTAAGAATTTGGGAGAAATGCAATACCCATAAAAGTTACACATTTCTTTAAACCATACATGAACATATACAATATTCACATTGTACAATATTCCTTACCCATACCCCTCAAGTCTCACACTAAATACTGCAGTCAATTTGAATGGAGTCAAATTTAACTTATTTTCTACCAAACCGCATACAACTTTTATATTGTTGGAGTAGAAGATGATGTTATTTTGTAATATTTGAATATGGACTTCTAAAAATATTTTAATAACTAATAAAATCTTAATATAAATGGCTAAAATTTGATACCCAGTAAAAAAAGAACCACCCCATTTTGCCCCACTTACAAACCAGTCATTTGCTACTTAGAAATTTTATTTTTTTTTAGCCACGAAAAAAATCGCAATCACTGCTTGGGCATTATATTGTGTAAGTTTGTCTGATAACTATAGACCATAGTCCATAACTAACCGATTCAAACAAAAAATGTCGGTTCCTGTCAGGGAGTTAAACTAGTAAACACTGACCAATTTGACTGGGGTTGCCCGCTACTTGAAAATTTTAGACATTCTCTTGGAGGGTTTGTGCAAGCTAAGATGAGGGGTTTCAACATCTTCTGTTTTCCAAAAAAAAAAAAAAAAAAAAACATCTTCTTATTAATGTATGCATGATAACAACAGCTTACAAGAAAAGGGGGGGTTAGATATTCCCACCTGTTTACAGATTCATCACGTTCAGACAATCTTAAAACTGAGAGTGTGCAAAAGACAGCCAACTTTTTCTCCAATTGACAGAAACCCAGCAACTGTCCTGCCTGCCTGCCTGCTTCTTTCTTGCACTGTACTGGCCTGGGATTGAAGTGCCTTTTGAGTGCCCCGAAGACATGTAAACAGTAGAGGTTTAAAGCTGAAGAGGGTTGATGCTTTTGGTTGTTTGTTTTCTAGCCAAAAATGAGTGGGGGACCATAATTTTTGTTGTCCTTTACAGCATCTTCTGCTTCAACTAATGTGCTTTTGCTTAGCTTCTGAGTTGGATAGCTTAGCTTGCTTGCTGAAGCTCTATGGTACCTTAGGCTCCATAGCTTTCAGCTGATCATATAGCTAGGGTATGCTGTGTTTCATAGAGAGAGAGAGAGGAGATCATTTTAGGCCTCAATCCCAAAGGGCCCCTACCCCTTAATTACCCTAAAATCTTGGTGGATGAGATAAATAACATTATATGTCATGTCTTAGTTGTCTATAGTATAGAGTTTTCTGGAATTTCAAGGGCCCTTGCTGTTTTTTGTAGAAGAGTTAAATTGCAGAAATGCAGAATGTGTCTCAACAATTTTTAAGTTATTCAAAATACTTGTACATACATCTGCCCACAAGACTAATTTCATATCCCCACCTTAATAAAAATTGAATCTTGCATCTTACCGTTGCCAACTAAGTACTTGTACACTGGGTCCACAATAAAACTAAAAATTAAACCCAACACCTTTCTTATAGTAAAAATCAAATTCTGCACCCTATGATCGCCAACAAGCAATCATTAGGGGATCGGAGAGAGATGAGATCATTTTAGTATTTTACACACCAACCCTGAGGCCTCTACCATCCTTACTTGAAGTACGTCTTGGTGGATAAGATAAATGACATGATATATATGTCACATGTCTCAATTGTCTATAGTTCTCTTTAATCCTAAGGACCCTCAGCTCTTCGTCTTCGTGGAAGAGTTAAATTGCGCGCGAAAAGTGTCTCAACAGTTTAAATAACCCTAAATAAATAAATGTTGAACATGCATGGCAATATGGCAGGCATAAATCTGTAATTATACAGTACTTATCATGAATGGACAAAAGGGGCCTTGGGATGTGATGAAGTTAATCTATACAGATTTGTCATCATAATTGTCAAACTTTCTACACTGAAAATGCACATTCCCTCAGTTTGGTACTTTGTGAATTTATTAGCTTTCATTCCTCCCCTGATGATTGCTTAGTTTCCTTCCCACCATTGTAGAGTTATTAGCTTCTTCAATTCAATTCCTGTGGTCCAACCTAACAACCTAAGCTATATGTTCATCATAGTAGTCCTCAAGAAGAACATTTCTTCATCAAAACCTTAACCTTTTCATCAGTTTTCACTGTCATTTTTTACACTTCTTGCAATGGTAACCCAAGATTCCCCTTCAAATCCAACACAACCATCGTGCAATCTGCAACAACTTGGGACCCAAAACTATGATAATGTTTTCCCACCTGATTTACCCAATAATAATACTCAGTTTCTTGGTGGGAGAATGCAGCCTAGATCCACTGGCTCCAGACATTTTATGGATCTTCTGGGAGCCTCAAATGATGTCCATAACCAACCACAGAAGCTCTCACTTTCCTTGTTCCCCCCTTCTGTCCAATGTAGGGAGACATCCTTAAACCAGAACATCATGAATAATAACCCAGGATTCATGAATTACTCTCTTGCTGGGAGTTCGGCCCTCGCGGCTCCCATTGCTGATTCGAAGTACTTGAGGCCTGCCCTGGAGCTTCTCGAGGAAGTGGCTAGTGTTGGTGGGCAGGACCCGGAGGTCAGATACGAGAAATTAATGAGGAGATTGTCGCGTAACAGCAAGAATGGCTCGTTGGGGGTTCGTTCTGCTGTGAGAATAGATTTCCCTACCAATGAACTTGAAGCTAAGATCATGAAGTTGATAACCATGTTGGAAGAGGTAAATGGAACATGTATCTTTAGCCATTTAGAGAAATGCTAACATTTTCTTGAAAATATTCTTCTGCAAATTTGCAGGTGGAGAGGAGATATGAGCAGTACTGTCATCAAATGGAGGAATTGGTGTCATCGTTTGAGGCGATATCGGGGAAATCATACACCGCCCTCGCCCTCGAGGCCATGTCCAAACACTTCTGCAGCTTGAGAGATGCAATCATAGCCCAGATAAACGCCACGAGGCGAAGATTATCAGAAGAAACTCCAACCACAGGGCTGCACTCACATTTCAGCCTTTTCCACCCCTCATCAGAGGCTGCCAGGCTTCAGAAACTCTCCCTTCAACACCTCGGATTGATCCAAAGCTCCCGGCAGACATGGCGCCCGATCAGAGGCCTGCCCGAGACCTCGGTTGCCATTCTTCGCGCTTGGCTGTTCCAACACTTCCTCCACCCGTATGCACATTGTGAAATTCTGCAGATCGAGTTTTTCAATTCTGGTTTTCTTGCAGAGTTTTTGAGTCCTGGTTTTGTTGCAGATACCCAAATGACTCAGAGAAACTAATCTTGGCATCCCAGACAGGCCTGTCCAAGAATCAAGTAATCTCTCGTACCAAATTGAAAGATGTGTTTCGTTTTAAGACTGTTGCAAAAATCAGTCTAGGAGCCCGCCTAAGCTCTAGGCGCCCCTAGATCGTGGCGATTCCCCTAGGCGTCCGCGTAGGGCCTAATTCGGCCGACTTGGCCGCCTAGTGTCTAACTTAGCCGAGTTAACTCGTCCATTTCGGTCGAGTAGACCGTTGCGATTTTTCCCAGGCGTCCGCCTAGCGCCTAACTCAGCCGACTTGGCCGCATAGTGTCTAACTTAGCCGAGTTAACTCGTCCATTTCGGTCGAGTAGCGCCCCTAGACCGTTGCGATTTTTCCCAGGCGTCCGCCTAGCGCCTAACTCAGCCGACTTGGCCGCCTAATGTCTAACTTAGCCGAGTTAACTCGTCCATTTCGGTCGAGTAGCGCCCCTAGACCGTGGCGATTTTCCCCAGGCGTCCGCCTAGCGCCTAACTCAGCCGACTTGGCCGCCTAGTGTCTAACTTAGCCGAGTTAACTCGATCAGCTCGGCTTTGCTAAAACAGTCTCATTAAAATTGTGAAACTGCAAGTCTGCCACTGTTTTTTTGGCGCCCGCCTAGTGCCGCTTAAATTCCGCCTAGGCGCTAGGTGGAGTATGTGTTGCCCGGGCGCCCGACTAGCGTCTATCGCCTACTGCAACCATACTTTTAACTAAAAGTCTAAGCTGATAGTTGGGCTGCGCATTTATGTTTATATATTATATTATTATATGCAATCTTGGATTTTCTTGAACCTGTGATGTGATGTTTGTATCCCAGGTTTCGAATTGGTTCATAAATGCGAGAGTGCGGCTGTGGAAACCCATGATTGAGGAAATGTACAAAGAGGAGTTTGCTGCAGAATCATCTTCAGCTGATGAATGTGATAATCTGTTTGGTGGGTCGAGTACAAGAAGTTCAAGAACAACAACACAAGGACCCATGAATTCTGCAGAGGAATGAACACATCCAAAACATCATTCAAAATCTAAGATGAAACCTCAATCAAGCTTACATTTTGCCCGGATTTTTCTTATCTTAATGGCGTTTGCTCTTCTTGGTTTAGTATATTTTGCAGAAAATCTATGATCTTGTAATGTCATATATATGATGACATCCCAACAATTTTGCAGAAAATCTATGATCTTGTATGGGATGCACTCTGTTTTTCTTAGTTCAAGAGTATTGTAATTCAGGTCCTTTTTTTTTTGGTTGAAAATATCATCATACATTAACTGGTTAAGGGTCAAATAGGTACTTCAAATATAGATCAAAATTCAATTAGTCTCCTAAATTAATAAAAAATTTAATTAAATACTTCATTCTCTTCAATTAACAATTTAGCCAATAACTTTTAAATTTGTGTAATTAACTCATTTTGCAGGTAAACTTGAGATAATAATAAATAAAATAAAATTTTAAAAATTAATTTAAAAAAAAAAAAAAAAGAATGTGGAGAAACCGGCGGTTCGGCTTCTGTCCAATTGGACGAAGAAGCCAATGCTGGCTTCTCAGTTTGGTTGGATAGGGAAGTCATAGCATAATGTTTTTTTTTTTTTTGGGTAATAATTTAATTATTTTATTTGAATTAAAAATATATTTTTTATTTAAATTTTAAATTTAAAAAAATTATCAATTTTTTCCCAGATAAAGTGGAAAATAATATTTTTTAAAGAGTAAATACCCAAAATGGTCCCTCGACTATAGCTAAATTCATAAATTAGTCATCGACTTTTAATTTTAACCAATTATGTCCTTAACTTTGCAATTTTAACACAATTTGATCATTTGTGACCGTTTGTTGACTGCGTTTTTTTAGGATATATATGTAATTTCATGGTCCATCGTCGTTTTTTTAAAGTTTCGGTTGCATTTCTAGACCGCACTGTTACATTTGAATCCACTGTCGGCGCTGCACCCCATGCCGGAGAGATTATAGCTTTTAATAGATAGATCGCCGAAATCCCTGGAAGTAACTCTTCAAGAAAGCCGTGATTCCAAGCGATGTAGGCAAGCTGAACCGGCTCGGGATCTCCAAGCAGCAAGCGGAGAAGCACTTCCCCCTCCGAAACGGCACTGTCACCTCCAAGAGCATTCTCTAAGCTGAACCGGCTCGTGATCCCTAAGCAGCAAACGGAGAAGCACTTCCCCTCCTAAACAACGATGTAACCTCCAAGAGCGTTCTCTTGAGCTTTGTAGTGAAACTACATATATATCCTCAAAGATCGCGGTCAACAAACGATCAAATAGATGGAGGACCAAATCCTGTCAAAATTGCAAAATTAAGGACTTAATTGGTTGAAATTGAAAGTCGATGATCAATTTGTGAATTTAGCTATAATCGAGGGACCATTTTGAGTATTTACTCTTTTTTAAAATATTAAAATATATTTTATTTTTGTTTATTTTCCAATATTTTAAATATAAAGGATTTTTCTGGGAGGTCTATCAGTCTATGTTTAGTCTGCCAACTGAATCAATCCTCAAATCAGTATAACTACCCGATAACGGCCGAGTGGGCACTGTATATATATCTGATTGAATTTGGCGAGCTTCTTTGCATACTCTTATCATGAGCTTATGCTTCCTCTGCTCAAATTTAAACCCTTTAATTTTACAATCCGAACCCCATTTTCGATGGGTTCCCAAACCTACCCGGCAGCTCCGAATTATTCAGCAAAGACAAGCAAAGCGCGCTTTTTGTGGTTCAATTAGGGCTTTGGAAGATGGAATCGGAGTCTTATCGCCCGACGATACCGTTTCGGTTCGCAATCCGGTGATTGAGACCGGAGATGAAGATGAAGCGGAAGATTTTCACCAAGGGTTCAATGGAGCTGCAAGTACCGAAGCAGAAGAAAATTCTCAAACCTCGGTGTTGAAGAAGATCGAGAGGAAGAAAGGGGCGCAGGTGGAGGAGAATGATGATTCTGATGGCCGGTTCACGCTACGTAATGGAAGAGAGGTCGGTTCTCTGTAATCTGCATTTTATTTTTTCAAAGTTTTCAGCTTTGCTTCAAAAGATACATAATTTTTTCTTTGGGGATGAAATGAATGTTTGCTTAATTGTGGAAAGTGTAGGTTTTTGAAGAGAAAGCCTATCTAGTGGGAGTTGCGTGCAAAAACAATATTGATGATTCATTTGGTATAGACGAATCACTGAAAGAGCTGGCCCAACTGGCTGACACTGCTGGACTACTTGTTGTTGGTTCTACATATCAAAAGTGAGTACAAATTGGATTTTTTTTTTTTCCAAATTCAGTACTAGTGATTCCCATTTCTAGTGCCACAAACTTGAACCTATAGTTCACATGGTTATAAAAGGTCTTAGAATAGAACACAGAGGAAGAGACAAATTCTCATGGGGAATAAGGAGCTGTATCTGGAGATCATGTTAATTGCATGAAGCATGGATTTTGCTACATAGTTGGACTGATTCTATTTCTTCAAAATTTTAGAACCATTCTTGCAATTTAAGTGGGAGATGGACTTTGAATAATTTGTGTTAATCATGATGTGATTTGCCACAGGTTTTTTGCATTTTGTTCCATTTTTTGTAATTTGCCAAGTTGATACTGTATAATCCACACTAGATTTCTGGTGAAATAGTGTTGGTTGGTTTGATTGTAGTTCTAACTTCTTCTGCTTATTCTTTCTCATTTTGCAGACTATCCACTCCAAATCCTAGGACATATATAGGGTCTGGTAAAGTTGCAGAAATAAAAAGTGCAATCCATGCGTTTGAAGTTGAGACTGTAATATTTGATGATGAACTTTCACCAGGGTATGTTCTAAGTTCAATTCATGTGTGAATACTGCTATATAGACATTCTGAAAGCATCAGTTGTTTATTACTCATAGAGACATAGATTAACATTTTTGGTTTCTGAATTTATTATCAAATTTGCCTTATACCCAATATATTGATTAAGATTATATTCATATTCCCTATTGTGTTGGAACTTGGAATTTTGTTCTTTAAATAATGCATATTTTTTTTTGGTTTATTATGTACATGATAAAACTTTTATCTAATTCTTATTTTTTTATGTGAATACCATAGTTTGTATTTTGTAACCATTGGACTCATTATATCATGGCTCACATTATAGGCAGTTGCGTAATTTGGAGAAAGCTTTTGGTGGAGATGTCCGAGTGTGTGATCGCACGGCTCTTATTTTGGATATCTTTAATCAACGGGCAGCCACTCGTGAAGCTTCTTTACAGGCAATCCTCTTTGTGATTGATAGTTTTCTTGCAACAGTTCTGCATGTTTTTAGGCTCACTGTTTTAACGTGTTCAGGTTTCACTGGCACAAATGGAGTACCAATTACCACGGCTAACAAGAATGTGGACTCACCTTGAGCGTCAATCTGGAGGGCAGGTCAAAGGTATGGGAGAGAAACAAATTGAAGTCGACAAGCGTATTCTACGTACTCAAGTAAGTAGTTATCTTGTTATGTTTTTCTTTTATGTGCTTATGTTCAATTGTAACTTCCTTCAATTTTGACTCTTTGTTGAACCAATTCCTGATTTGTAATTTGTTGAAACATCTTGGAAAAATGAATGAATCTTGCAGCAGCCAGTTTGTGTATTTAAGATTGTTGAACATATAACCATTAATGTGCAATCCAACTATGAGCTTAGGCTTTTAGTTGAGATGGAGCACATGCTTCAATTTGGTATCAGAGCCAGACCAAAGGTCATGGGTTCGAATCTCTACGTCACCCGATAAGCGACTACGGTCCATATGTTGCTTGGAACCCACCGCTTCAATTTACATTTGTCATGTTGCTTCTATATATGTGTGACTGTTTATAGGTAGTTTTTGGCCCCTCCATGACTTAATATGCCTAACTATGGATTTCTTTGGTGTAAATTGCCCTTTTGATAGATTGGTGTTCTCAAGAAAGAGCTAGAATCTGTTCGAAAGCATCGAAAACAGTACAGAAACCGACGCACCTCCGTTCCTGTCCCTGTAGTGTCTTTGGTATGATATGTACTTTGTATAGTCTTTCAGTATGTTAATAGGAAACCAGTGATTTATAATGGCTTTGATGCTCTAGGTTGGATACACAAATGCTGGCAAGAGTACACTACTGAATAGATTGACAGGGGCCGATGTTCTTGCTGAGGATAAATTATTTGCCACACTTGATCCTACAACAAGAAGGGTGCAGGTAAGGGTGGAGAGTAGAAGAAAAATAAATTTTCACATAATATAATGATCCTTCCGTTCATTTGAAGTTTTTGAAAATTTATTTGTAATCTGAGGCAAGTGAGTCCGCATAAGTTGAAATTTGATATTTGAGTGGCATTATATACAAATAGACCTTTTATTAAAACTATTTTGAAATTTCTGCATTAGACAGATAAAGTATGCATAGCTAAAACATTTTGTGCATTTTTTTTTTTGGAACTCTTCTGACCCAGATGAAGAATGGAAAAGAGTTCCTCCTGACAGATACAGTAGGGTTCATTCAAAAGTTACCGACAACACTGGTAAAAATTATTATGCTCTAGTCAATATTTTAGCCTTTTTGATCTCCTCATGGATATTGAGGATGATCATTTAAGTTAAAATCAAAATTTTTATTAAATCGCCTTCACTTCTTGGCATAGGTTGCAGCCTTCAGGGCAACATTGGAAGAAATCTCTGAATCATCGCTTATGGTGCATTTGGTGGACATCAGGTATGATCTTTTCTTTTCTTAAAATTTTTATATTAGCTCTATTACATGATAAACTCTTACTTATCATCTGTAACTACCAAATTCAGTCATCCTCTGGCAGAGCAACATATTGAAGCTGTGGATAAAGTTCTTTCAGAACTTGATGCATCTTCAATCCCAAAGTTGATGGTATGGAATAAGGTAATATAATACTTTTGTCATTTGTTATGAAATTAGGTTAATTATATAACTAGCTCCCCTTTTCCTTCTTTTGTCTTTTTTTTTTTTTCCTTCTAATAAGTAAAATCAGGCTTGGGTATGCAAGGATTTCCCCTTTCCTAATTATTGTTTTCTCAAACCATTCATGTTTTCTATCTATAGTATTGTCAATGATTACTGAAATCATCTTTGCTACTATGCTACTTCTTTCCCAAAAATAGTTCTTACTCTTTACTCGTATTCGTGTTATGGTCTCATTTGATGCTCTTCTCATTCCTGAAGATGAGTTGTTCATCTCGGGATACTGGTAATTGCTAGTTCTCCTTGTTTCATTTCTCGTATTATGGTTTAAACATTGTATACTGTTTTGGTGGCATCTTCTCAACAGGTTGATAAAGCTGCAGATCCTGAAAAGATCAAGTTGGAAGCTAAGCAAAAAGATGTCATTTGTATATCCGCTTTGACTGGTGAAGGGTTAAACGACTTTTGTGATGCTGTTCAGAATAAGCTGAAGGTGCATAACCGGTTAATTTCGCTGTGTAGCCAGGAGGAAATACTTTCTAATTTTCGTAAATATTTTTCAGTCGTTGCTGAAGATTCTTTTCTTTAGCAGGATACTATGGTTTGGGTAGAAGCGTTGATACCCTTTGATAAGGGGGAACTCCTCAGCACCATACACCAAGTTGGAATGGTTGACAGAACGGTTAGCCATTTTCATTTGTGCATTTTTTTTCCTGTTCCGTTACGTGTGTATTTACTTTCGAGGTTACCTAAAATGAGGCTGAGGGGAATGAAAGTATGAAACCCCAAAACAAGTCCTCAAGAATTTAGTTTTAAGTAGCTTCTTATGAAGCCAAAATGCGAGAGTCTTTGGCATTTTTCTTTTTGCCATCTCCATCGAAATTATTGCCCAGACGAGGTCAATAATCAAATATACATTTGTTTGAAGTAACGAGAGCCTTTTTCCTATTTTAGGAATACACGGCAAATGGAACCTTGGTGAGAGCATACGTGCCCCTCCGTTTTGCCAGGATTCTCACCCCGATGAGGCAAATGTGTGTGTCGTAACATCTTCCTCCCATCAGAATCCAGATTTCGTGACAATGCCTCATTATCAAGATTAGTTCAAAGCTCGTGTACGGTGTACATAATTGGATTACTGTTGCGTGTGTAAATATATTGACACATTTGTATTTATGTATATGTATTCTCTCTCAGATCCTTTCTAAGGTGATATTCTCTGTATGTTGAAGAGTGCAGACATCAATATAAGCTTTCCTCTATGATTCAGTCTACTGTGTTTATTCAGAGTGAGAGTTTTTGTCTTTTTGACCTGGTTTTTCCCCAGTTGCGTGAAAAACATTGTGAAAGTTGAATCTGTAAAAAAAGACATTTATTACATCAATATCTCATCACCCTCATTTCTTGCACGTCTCACCTTCTCTGCGCTGAAATTCTGATTGGAGCATTTTGCAGAACTTGGCAACCTTGAATTAGCATTCAAGAGATTTGATTGTCAATAACTTTAGCCAAGTTGATCAGACCGTTGACTTGATAACTACAATATTATAAGTTCGACTCGTAGTAGGAGTGACCTAATCAACTACAACTTAGTTTACTTTCTTGTGGTCCGATTTCTGGATGTTTGGCTCGTAGGGTAGCTTGAAACTTTGTACTTTTTGTTATAGTCGAAACTTTGTTGGTGGTGGTGGTCTGTGATTTTTCCCTTGATTTTGGAGTTTTCCACGTAAATCGTGTGTCTCTTAACATTTTTTGTTTGGGCTATTGTGTTATCTCGTATTTGTGTATGGTGGCCGTGAAGGATCAAAAGGTGGAGTTTATCCAGTGCACACTCTCGATCAGAACAACTTAGACTAGTTTACCTCTTGTGATCTTTTATTGGTCAGAGTCAGTGCGTACCTTCGAGTAGTGACTACCAGTAATTTTAGTTTCAATAGAGAAAGTCACTGTAGAACTTGTCGGTGGAAGATGGTTTCCCAAACAAAATAAACTGGTCAATTGGTTTAGGCTATATGGAAATAGAAAGATAAACCCTTAACATGGCAAGCCTAATGATCAAGAGTGCTGTTGCTCTTTCCTTGTGTTCTCGGCTTCTCGTTTCGATCACTTAAACGTAACGAGATGAGTTTAGATGTCATCGTGAAGCCTTTAATCTTATCATGTTACATCAGAATACCGAGATTAATCTTATCCTGTACATAAGGTAAAACGAGAATACCGAGATTAATCTTATCCTGTTACATCAGGTGAAACGAGAATACTACGGAGATTACGTATAGCTTTTGCTATTGTTCAAACAGTATGATGTCACAACATTCCTCATTTTAGTGTTGTATGGAGCAGGTGGAACTGCAGTACTCACTGAGCTAGACCACATCTATAAAGGTGCACAGACAGGTAGAGGATTCGGTATCAGAGTGGTTGACATACATGAACTATGATTGATCATATATGTGTGTATATATATACATATAGTTGTATACCAACAGAGCATGATTATATATACATACAATCCATTAAACAAAAGCTTAGTTAAGTTTACAGTATCCTGTCCCTAATGGCTACTCTTCCCAGAGTCTTCTTTTGCAGCCTTGCTATGATGATGATGATGGTTGTTTTCTCTGCTGCACATCCCGGCCTTTCGCCTTTCTTCTACGATGTTTCGTGCCCACAGGCCAACGATATTGTCATGTCTGTCTTGGAGAAAGCTATCGAGGAAGACCCGAGGATGGCTGCCTCCTTGCTCAGGCTCCACTTCCATGACTGCTTTGTCCAGGTGAAATGAAAAAAACCAGAAGACATAAAACCTTGCATTGAATTGCCTGTTTTGTTGGGTAGTTTGGAATGATTGTTTCCCTTTGGTGCAGGGTTGTGATGCGTCGATATTGCTGGACAAGACGTCGGGGATGGCTAGCGAGAAAGATGCCGGACCAAACAAGAACTCCATTAGAGGAATTGAAGTGGTTGATGAGATAAAAGCAGAGCTGGAGCAAGTGTGTCCTCACACTGTTTCCTGTGCAGACATTCTCGCACTGGCTGCCCGGGACTCCACAGTTCTCGTAAGTAAACTGTTCTGTTTCAACTAAAAGTTTAAGCTGATAGTCAGACTATATGTGCTGAACGGGGTGTCTGTTTAAACAACAGAGCGGTGGACCGCATTGGGAAGTGCCATTAGGAAGGAGGGATTCAAAGATAGCAAGCCTCAAGAAAGCCAACACCAATATTCCTGCACCAAACTCCACCATCCAACACCTTATAACCCTCTTCGCCCGCCAAGGCCTCGACGAGCAAGACCTCGTCGCTCTTTCTGGTAATTTAAGCTCATCCAGCAGACCATAACAACTTAAACTTTTAGTTGAGACAGAACACATTCTTTAATCTGGTACCAGTGATCTGACTGGTTGACCGTGCAATTCAATGCAGGGGGGCACACCATAGGTGTAGCCCGGTGTGTGAGCTTCAGGCAAAGGCTGTACAACCAAAATGGCAACAACCGGCCCGATGCAACTCTCGAGAGGGCATACTACAACAACCTGAAAGCTTCGTGCCCAAGAACCGGGGGAGACAACAACGTATCTCCCCTGGACGTTGCCTCCCCGGTGAGATTCGACAACACATACTTCAAGCTGTTGCTGAGGCGCAAAGGGCTTCTCGCCTCAGACGAGGCGCTGCTCACCGGGGATGTGGAGAAGACAGTGGAGCTGGTTAAAGGGTATGCCAGTGATGAGGAGCTTTTCTTCCACCACTTTGCCAAGTCTATGGTGAAAATGGGGAACATCAATCCTCTTGTTGGGTTGAAGGGGGAGATCAGGCACAACTGTCATCATGTCAACTGAAACATTATTATGGTGTGATTAATGTTTAGTTTGTTGTGTTTGTGTGGTTTTAATGAACAAGTTTAAGCTGTGTAAGATGTTTGTGAACTGTGAATTGGAATGAAATGTGAGTATTAACTAGCTTGTGTTTTGTTTTTTTACAAAACATTCCTTGTTGGTTCATTGTACAAAAACATCCTAAACTGAGATTGATGAATAAACAAGTAAACCAACTCACAATGTACTAGAAAAACATAATAGTATTGTTATCAATGATCAAGATATCTAGTAATTCTAATACGGAGTAAGAATCTCTAAAATAATAAACAAATTCTAAAAATACAAAGTAATACCGTGCAAGAGATTTAACTTGAGATAAAGTACTTATTTATCAAAGAAACTCTCGAGTAGAGAAAGAGTTTTTTTTTTTTAAGTAGAGAAAGAGTTTTTTTTTTTTTTAGAAAACTCACTCTGTATGATCAATACTTTTATTTATTTATTTATTTTTTTAAAACCATGATGTGACCTGATTTTGATCATCTTTAATTAAAATATAAAAAATATAGATATTTCTCGTACTTTTTCACAAAATCTTAAATAACCTTAAACTGATTAAGGAAATTCTATAATTTAAAGAACAATTTAGATGATACACTTAAAATACATTGTTGGTGATGCTATAAGCTATAGTGCACATAAATTACTACCTAATTAATGAATAACTTAAGTTTTGTATCACAAGATTATACATTATTAAAAGCCTACTGAATTTAAAAGAAAAATACTAAATTAAATTTAAAATATAAGAGCTATATAAAATTATAATAAAAATAAAAATATATTTAAAATAAATACGAATTAAATAATACTCTATATTTAAATAGATATATTACCTTGTAATAGAATACATAGTTAATTTTAAAAAAAATAATAATAAAAAAAAAAACTTCTTATAAAAATACAAATCCTGATGAATCGGGTATAACACTGGTTTTACACAAGTCCTTAGCTCCTAGAGTCCCAAAGCTTCCAAAAGTAATCACTGAATTCCCGACCGATTGTCTGAAATCCGACGATGAGCGAAGGAGAAGACGCCGTTCGTCGCCGCACTGCGCTAGCGGATTACCGGAAAAAGCTGCTTCAGCACAAAGAACTTGACTCCAGGTTACGAACGGGTACAGCTCTCACAGATTTCTAAACCCTAATTCTCTTTTCAGTGATTATCTGGTCTCTTTTAACAAGCTCATTCGAAGGATTATACATGAATTTTGTTTCTGTTGAATGGGATTGATTGTAAATGCTTTTTTTTTTTTTTCCTTGAAAAAATCTGCAGTAAGGGAGAATCTAAGAGCTGCGAAGAAGGACTTCAACAAAACAGAGGATGATTTGAAGTCTCTTCAGAGCGTAGGGCAGATTATCGGAGAAGTTCTCAGGCCTCTTGACCATGAACGAAGTAATTACTTTTATATTCTCTCTAAAAGTTTTGATCTTTTGCTCTTTTGCCCACGATTTTTAGTTAGATTAGAATCATAATCTAGAAAAGCTATATAAGAAGTAACATAAGCTTGGTTTTTTAGTTTGATAAAGATAATTCCTTTTGAGTTGATAGTTTCTACATAATTCGTGTCATATATTTGTATTCGCTCTCCCCCTTTCAAAGAAAATGAGTTCCTGTTATGCTCTAAACTTAATCATTTATGCATCTTTCTATTTTAAGATATTTATGGTTTGTAGTGCCAGTAATCCAATCTTTCTGCAAAATTTACTAATACTATTAGTTTAACTGTTCCTGCATGGTGTATTTTGTAAAATGCTAAGATTTTTGTTAATGCTTGAATGCTTCCTGCTCCAAGAGACAAAAGTACTAGGATCTTCTAAACTCTCCTTTGTAGGTGACTTAGTGCTATGCCATTCTATTATCTCGGATTGTCTGAATGGTCTTTATATCTACATTATAAGAATGGTATTAACATAAGTTAACTGCCATGCTGCAATCCTATGACCATGATATGTGATGAATAGTTCCTTGCCTGTATTTTTTATATTTTAGTGATTGTCAAAGCAAGCAGTGGCCCAAGGTATGTTGTTGGCTGCCGTAATAAACTTGATAAGGAAAAATTGACTGCTGGAACAAGAGTGGTCCTTGACATGACAACCCTGACAATCATGCGAGCTCTCCCACGTGAGGTATGCCTCTCTCTTGTTTGTTGTGAGTCTAATACTGGTTGGAACTGGTGGTTTATGGTGATACATGAGAATTTTTTTTATTGTTCCTGAACCTTGTTACATGACATTCTTGTCCAGGTTGACCCTGTTGTTTATAACATGCTCCATGAGGATCCTGGAAATATTAGCTACTCTGCTGTAGGTGGTTTGTCAGATCAAATTCGAGAACTTAGGGAATCGATTGAGTTGCCTCTAATGAATCCTGAGCTCTTCATCAGAGTTGGAATCAAGCCTCCAAAGGTATCTTTAACAACTCCTAGCCCCCCAAAGAACTTGTGGGTGGGGGTTGAAAGCTTTGATTCATACTTTTTCCTTAGATACATGAGACATGCTATGCATGGATGTACTCTAATTGGGAATAATCTTTTGCCATCACAGGGTGTTCTTCTGTATGGACCTCCTGGTACTGGGAAGACATTGCTAGCTAGAGCTATTGCTAGTAATATAGATGCCAACTTTTTGAAGGTAACTATTAGCCTTCCTTTTCCTTTTGGTTTTCTGTTACTGTTTTACTTTTGTAAGCACTTCCATTTTACAATTTGATTGTGATTTCATGCAGGTTGTTTCTAGTGCCATTATTGATAAATACATTGGTGAAAGTGCAAGGTTGATTCGGGAAATGTTTAATTATGCACGTGATCACCAGGTAAAGACTTGATTTTTCAGATTTATATCCACATTGCTGCCTCCAAAAGCTTATTTTTTGCTTATCTTTTTTTTTTCCCCCTTCAGCCCTGCATAATTTTTATGGATGAGATTGATGCAATTGGTGGAAGACGTTTTAGTGAGGGAACAAGTGCTGATCGTGAAATTCAGAGAACACTCATGGAGTTGCTTAATCAGCTAGATGGATTTGATCAGCTTGGAAAGGTAAATCTATTCACACTTTTGAAGACTTAGTTTCTTGAAGTACCGAGTTATAGTAAATTACCCAAGACTTTAGGTCCCAGATTTAATTTTCGAGATGTATACTCAAAGGTTTACATAGTATGGAGGTATAATTGCATCACTGTTGACATCATGCTTCTAGTGAATGAGAATTCGATACTTAGCCAGTTAGCCCCAATGGCTTTCTGAGGCTTTAAGAAAAGGCACAAGGCCAAGGGATTTGATTTACTGAAGTAAGGTGCTGATTAACAAAAAATTAGTAATGAGTAGTATTCTACATATCTGAATCTTAACTAACAATTATTGAAAAATCAGAGAGACAAGTTTCCTTAGCCAAGTGAAAAGTTCCACTTACGTAGCAAACTTTTCTGGAACTCAATAGTTCAAAGGGAGCACTGAATGAATTCTCTTGTTTTGTTAAGGAATTTCAGAAACAACAATGAACAATTTTTCTTGTGCAGGTAAAAATGATTATGGCAACAAATCGACCTGATGTTCTTGACCCTGCACTTCTTCGACCTGGGCGTCTAGATAGGAAGATTGAAATCCCACTGCCAAATGAGCAGTCAAGAATGGAAATTCTTAAAATTCATGCTTCTGGAATTGCCAAACACGGTGAAATTGAGTATGAAGCTGTTGTTAAGCTCGCAGAGGTTTGATAATCCTTTCTTTGTAATCAAGTAATCATGGCATTTGTCCGTTGTGTTAACCTTTGCATTGTCTTCAGGGGTTTAATGGTGCTGACCTGCGTAACGTATGTACTGAGGCTGGGATGTCAGCTATCCGTGCTGAAAGAGATTATGTTATCCATGAAGACTTTATGAAGGTAAATTCTCCAAATTTTATCTTTGTAGTCCTCTGTATTCACTTGTTGATGAGGAATTAAGATAGGATACAAAGGCCAATGACCTTGTGGTCTAGTGGCACGAAGTGGTTCTCCCAAATGGGAGGTCATGGGTTCGAGCCCCAGTGAGGGCGGTTTTGACTCTTTGTGCTTCAATAGGTTGAGAAAGTATATATAAACAGATACTACATTGTAACAGAGTGTACTCAAAAAAAAAAAAAAAGATAGGATACAAAGAGTGTGTAATAAAATATTAGCAGCCTTGTAATATGATTGTTATCCTAACTTTGCAGGCTGTTCGAAAACTGAATGAAGCTAAGAAGCTCGAATCTAGTGCACATTACAATGCAGATTTTGGCAAAGATTAGGATCAACGACTTTTCTTCTCGAGATCCATGGATGTACGTGTAGCAAATCATGTTTCTATACGTGGCACTTTCACTAGATTTTGCTGGATATCTTCTTGCATACTGATAATTTATGGATTTATTCTAACTCAATGCTCCCCCAAACATTTCCTCCTTCATCTCCCCCACCCCCTACCCTCCACCACACCACCAGTAGAAAGAGGACAAAATGACAGATACATAAAATGTTATGTTTACTTGGTGTGCTTTTCTTACCTGAAGTATTCGAGTATTTCTGTCATTCCCTCATTGTTGATATCCTCTTTTTCTTTCTCTTTTCGTTTTGTGTGAGTTTCTTGTGTTATTTGCATCTCTTCCCTCGAATTTCGACTAGTTTAAAGTTAAACTATTGTGTTTTTTGCTCTGTTTACAATGTTCAAATCCTAGATATTGTTAGAGTAGAGTTGAGGCTTTTATGGCCCATGTTATTGGGCTATTCCAAGAGAGAAATTATATTTCGGATCATAGTCCATATACCATTGATAAATGTTCATTTTTAATGTACTATAGATTCAATTTTATGTAGTATACTAAAAATGAATCTCTAATGCATTAGAAATAAAATTTAAAAAAATAGATATATAGTAAATTAAAAATGACCCCACCCAGTATATTCTTGTATGTTAATGATCCATGTGTGGATCGTAGTCCACGCGGTATAATGTTTGATTCCGGGACTGGTAGTTGCTTAACTAGTATGTTATTTAAAAGAATTAATTTTGTGTTTGGCCAATCAACTATATAGTGTCAATTTTAATTTTGGCAAAAATACCACATTTTATTTGTCATAAG